CATCCCAATAAAAAGTCCTTATGATATGGGGCCAATATCAAGGAATGTGTTGTAAATCTAATTAAGAGAGGACACCCCAAATATAAAATGATGGGGTAAATTTTTTTTTGAGCAATTAGACATTTTTTAAAGCAATTTTTTTTTACCAAATTGTTTATTTGATGTAAATTTAAATCATTCATTTTTACTAAATTTGAAAAATATTATATATATATATATATATATATATATTATATATATATATATATATATATATATATATATTATACAATCTTTACACTATTTAAAAAAATGCATGAGGATAAAAAATTAAAATTTAAAAATTAAAAAAGACGATTTTGGTAGGTAAAAGGGTTTACATATGCTTCTTTTGTATATAAATGGAAAGGTACAAATGAACTTATTTAGATTTATGATTTTCACATGGATAGTTGAATCTTGTAGGTTTTGTGGTATATTGGAGCGTGTGAAGTCTGAACTTTAAGTTCAAAAATTTTATTTTTATTTTAAATAAACTTTGAAATGTCAATTTGCAAACTTATTAGTAAAATTTATAAAATTTCTAACAATGATTTTTAAGTTTTTGGGAGAAGCTGCTCACATGCCTCAAATGTAGATTGATAATTGGAATCTAACAATGGCATTCATCATCCTCGTAATGATAATAACATTTATAGGTATGGGAGGAGCTTGCAACTACATTTAAATTCAACAATGGATTAAGAAGTTACAAGGTTGAAATTGCCAGGGGGGGAGTTGAATATGAATGAACAACTTGATATTTAATGGCTTTATATATAGTCTACAAATAATCAAAGTCATAATATAAAATCTATAACAGCAAGGTCCCAAAAAGGATAAAAACTGATGGTGTGTCATGGGGATGGATTTTGAGCCCTTCCTCTGATGATTAGATTAGAGATATGGGCATGTTGGTCTCGTTAATTAGACCATTTCAGATATCTAACAGGTTTGACCATTGGAAATGCAGTGTCTGATGAAGTGATAATCGAGTAAAGAGAATCAAATCAGAGTAATATCAATATGAAATGAACACAAGGAGTAAATATAATCTTCCTTCAGCTCAATTATACTTCTATAGTTTTACAGAGAGTAAAAAGACAAGTGCTGTAAAGACCCTTATCTAACTCTAAGTAAAGTCCTTGTTTATAGGATACATGAAAGTATACAAAAAATACTAAGGCGTAGACATTAAGCTTCGAATATTAGACATCTTAGTAAATACATTTCAAAATATACAAAGGGTACAGACTTTGACTCATTACAACATAATTTCGACCTTTACAATCTCCCCCTTTGTAATGAAGTCGACATCTCTCAGTTCGTGAGAATCTGTATGGCATACATCATCACTCTTCGGATTTTCGTGTACCATGAGATAATCTTCTTAAGCTCCTTCTTGTCCCCTTCATTATTTTTCTTGCAACTATTCATATGAACAATGAAGTTCGTATATTAGGATGTCATATATCTTTCAGTTTCACAAGCTTGGAACAAAAATCTCTTGGCTTTTCCACCTTTATCCTTTCCAGCAAAAACCATTCCAAAAGGTTTTAAACAAATTTCCCCATCAGCATACTTCTTCAATTATGATTGAGACATTGTAGGTTCCATTGGCGCTTTAACTTCTAAACCCTTCACAATTGCAAGTTCCACATACATAAGACGCAAACACTCATAGTAATTATCCAAGAAGATCTTGATGTGAGCAAATCCAAGTCGAAAAACTTCGAGATCAGTTTCTCGAAGGTATGAAGAATTTTTGTCTTTTAAGAATAACGCAACTTGTATAAGATCATAGAAGTTCGTTAGTGGAAAATCAGCCACTGTAAAAATCATAATTTTGACCATTTTCCCTTGCAACAAAAAATCTCATATTCTGCATCATATCTTCGAATAAAACATCCATCTTGGTGCTAATCACTTTCTTTATTTTGATTAATGACCAAATTTCCTCTAGAGCTTTTGCAAGAACAACATGAAAACGAACCTTCATGTAGTTGTAGTCAGCTTCACTCTTCAATTTGTCAGAAATTTTGAACTGAGGCATCAGGAGCATCATTTCATTGATTGGGAAGTCAACCTGGCTTATGTTTGCATTCAAAACCACATAACTCTGTTTTGGTTTCTTATCAAACGCATACATGTGGTTATACGCCACCTTTGCTTCTATGGTCTCATAATTGTAATGTTTTGAAGGATCTCCTTTGTTCAATCCAGAAGGATCACTTGCTCTTTGCCTCATGATGCTTTGTACAACTCTTATTTTTTCAATCTCAGCTTCGGCCTCAGCTTTCTTCTCCTCCTTCGTTTTTTCAACAACAATCAACTTTCCTTTATCTATTGAACTTTCTGTAACATCTTTTGTTTTCGAAGCATCACCTTGACTAATGGATGAACCAATTATAATCCCCTTTGAGATTGGTTGTGATTGGCATTGACGTCACAATTATTGAAGTAATTGGCCCAACACTCGAAATTATTGGCTTAGTTGATGGAAGTTTTGAAGGGAAAATTTTTCCAACAACTTTAATCTCTCCATGAGAATCTTCACCCCCAACCTTTGCATGAGAATCTTCACCAAACATTTTCTCTCCCCCTTGCACCATTGTACTAACAGGTGGGGCACCTGTTGGTAGAATATTTGAAATTATAGATAAAGGAGCCAACTCCTTATGGAAAATTTCTTCGAACTGTGAAAATTTTTTAGAGAGGAATTCTGGAGTAATAATCGAAGATGAAGCAGGATTAAGCACTGAATCTTTTAAAACTTTTAGCAATGAAAGAACCTCCCCAAATTGTTGATTGTCACTTGTAGAAAGTTGAGTAATTTGAGGACTCAAGCTTTCATACAACTTGACATATTTCGTTACAGCTTCACAAATAATGTCAACCTTTTTGTGTAGAGTTGCATAATCATGCTGAACAACAGCAACTTCTTTAACCATATCATCACAAAGCTCTTGAAGCTTAAAGATGACATGTTCTCTAACCTTCTTCACATCCATAACAAACAAATTATGTCGTTCTTTTTGAAAATTTGTTAACTCCTTGATAGTCCCCACAAACTTTGAATTTAGAGAATTATCCCTTAACTCTGTTGCTGATCAGCATGATCCACCATCTCTAAAATTTGTAACTCTGAGTCTTTAACCATGCCCGACACTTTACTCACCATTTGAGCTTCAAATTCCTTCATCAGTCCATCAAGTTCAAAACTGAAAACTGAACTGCCTCCATATCTGCTTAAGTCTAAATAATGTAATTCATCCTCTTATTCAGAATTTTCAACTACTTCATGGACATCAACATATGGTCAAGGAAGTCTTCTTCTTTATCATCAAATGCCAAGTCTTCGAAAGTGCCTCCAAAACCACCTTCTTCATTCTCAGACTCATCCATTGTTTTTGGTGGATCAGTAGATTGTGATGAAAAAATTCATGTAAAGGGTTGATTGATTATGTTTTCAAAGGTGGGTGACTCAGTGGTGGAAGTCGTAGGTATAATATATTAAGGTAAAGAAACAAAAGCACTGGAAAAAGGTTCGACAGGAATAACAACTTGAGTACCTTGGAGAGATTGTGAAGTTTCTTTAGATAAATCTCCTTCACCCATGATGTAATTTACATCCGTATTAGATACGTTTTTAGTGATGTCTGAAGTTCGTACCTCCTCATGTAATGATTTAGCAGACGAAACTTCGGGTGGTATGACAAAAGTCTTCTCAGCAGATGAAGGTTCGATAATAGGAATAGCTTCGGGAGTTTCAGGCAGATCTTCGTCTTCAGAAGATTGTGTTGGAATAACAAGCTACCTCTTCTTTGTCTTCTTCTTCTTCTTCGAAATGCTCTTTGTAATATCTTCTGTAGTTTGGGATGGTGCATCAACATTAGCCTAAGTACCCATGAGTAAGGTTTTGAAATTTTCTGAAGAACAAATCAACTTTGCAGAGAGAATTTTGGGAATTTTTCTTTCGAAAGCGTAAATTGATCAAGAACCCTTGAATCCCCTTTTATATGTATCCCTAAAGTTTGAATTTGAAGTGAGATATACATTTAATGAAATCCAACATGGCACCTTGAAACTCGCACCACTATTCCGATAAAGTACCTACGCATGAAAAAGTAACGGTCACTTCTCCTTGAAAACCGGATAGAATACAAGACGTCACTTCTAACAGCCTATTTATTTCTCCCAATGGAATATGAAGTGTAATCAACCTTTGGATGGAGGTTAGCTTCTTTCACTTTTGGGATTTAAAAATCATCAGCCTGAGTTGGTATTACTCAAAACCTCAAGGATTTCATGAGTGTAGTGTACCAAAGAAAAAGACAAGAATCAAATAAAAATAAACTTTGGATTTTTTATTGTCACACCCCAAAACCGAGAACGGCGGAAACGTTATGGGGCGGAGGACGTAATGTAATGTATCACAACAATGTAAAGTAGTAAAGAAGCAACAACATCATCTATTGCATTAATAGTATAATTTTAAATACATGTGTGTTCTCTCATAATATAAGACAACATAATGAATAATCAAAATAAAAGATGAGTCTTGACTGCTCCGTCTTCACAAAACCTGATCGTCGTACCTGTCTATTTTTGACCTGGGAATACAAGTTATTTTGAATACGAGTATCAATAATAAAGCTGGTGAATTCATAAGTATTATCGTGTCTTTGATTTGTAAGACTGTAAAGTAAAGACTTGTAAATATTTTGAGAAAAGTTTATATAAGTATGAAAATGTTTGTAAGTAATTGTAAACGCTTGAAAACCCTAGAAAATCCTATATTTCCTACTAGTATAAAAGTAGTCTTCTACCAAGACCCGACTGTTTAGAAAGCAGTCTTCTACCGAGACCCGACTGTTTTGTAAGTAAGCATCTCTATAAATGTGACGGTTTTTCCCTGTTTAACTATTATTATAAAACTATAGTCTACCTCGTCGTTTATGCATATGAATCACAATATAAAGGTAATAAGGAAAATAGTATATCTATATCAAATATATCCTACCTCGTCGTTCATGTGAATGTGTCACAAAGTAAAGGAAGGAAAATAATATAATAACTAAAATTGTATCCTTTTGCACTAGGATATTCACGGCGTGGAAAATCACCGAACAGTACAACCGTAAACACCCGTCGATGATCATTTTCCCTACTGTAGCTAACATCCTTGGGGGTGGAATCGTAGGTCCCGAAACATTTGTAACAGATTCTATGTAATAGTATCTATTAAACGTATTAATGTAAACGTGTTCGTGTAAGCGTATCTATGTAAACGTATTCATGTGCGCATATCTATGTAAACGTACTTATGTAAACGTATTCATGTAAGCGTATCTATGTAAATGTACTTATGTAAACGTATCTATGTAAACGTATTCATGTAAACGTACTTATGTAAACGTATCTATGTAAACGTATTCATGTAAGCGTATTTCTTCATATAGTATGTAATGTATTAGTATAGACTCATGAATGAAATGGTTCTTGTGTGATTCTTTGTACTTGGAATAGTAAGTAGTATTTCCTAACTATACATATTATAGTTACTATTAATGTACATGTATACCCGAAACTATGCTTTTGCTACCCAAAGGTACTAAACTGGCTTATGGAACTTTTATGTCTATATATGTGTACATGATATATAACTAATATTTAGATGACATTCGGACGAATAACCGGTGCTCTAAGGCCACATCCCAACGAGGAAAAGGAAATAAAGCAAGCTAGCCGTCCTAAGTCCTTTAAACATTATTTGTGTAACTATACATATATAGGCATGCATTTGACAATATAAAAGTATAAAATAAGTTTTGTAAAACCTTTGAAAAGTTTAATACTAAGAAATGATGACTTGATGTCAGTTTATAAAACTATTTGAAAGTAGTTTGTTTAATAAGATAATTTTAAGTATAAGGAAAACATTTGTTTGAAACACAATTGTAACAGAGTTTGAAAGCAATCATACAGTATGTAAAGCAGTTTGATAAAGAGTTTTAACATGTAAAAACGTTTGAGAAAGTCATTTGAAATAATCTTTTATCTTAATATATTTGCCGATTCAAAAAAAAAAAAAAAAACTTTTATAACTGATTGTGACACCTTAAAACCAAATAATGGCAATCTTAATAGAGATGTTAATTTGGGAACTCGCATAAAATGATAAACATGCAGCAATGAAAAAAGTTTGCAGAAAACAAGAAAGTAGAGGATGATTCATACCGGTCAAAGGCAACACTTTCACAAAAGGATCATCCCACAATATCACTTAAAATTAGGATTTTGGCACATTTTCAACACCTAATGCGAAACCAAATTAACACTTAAAAGACAAACAGTTGTCAAAATTCTTTACACTTCATAGAATAAGTTCTAAAAGGGACCAATTTGAAATAGATGTTATTAGTAGAAAATCTGGAATTTTTGTTTAATCCCTAAGCCATTTGGTTAATAATGTGACTTTCTCTGTATTTAATCACTTAAAACTTTGGACTAAGAAAAATGAAGTGTACATTTATTGACCAATATCCAGTATAATCCATCGACACCAATCGTGTGACACAAAATAGAATAAGTAAGAAATTGACGTTTTGTGTGGCGTTCCATGACTATGCATTTTAATATTTAATGTCTAAAATGTTGTCGTTCAATCTTGACGACAAAATCATAATCCATCAACAAATCTAGCGTAGTATAAATACCAGCATCATTAGCTTAATAACAACCACCACCAACTACAACAATGGAGCCTCTCACCATCGTCTCCCTCGCTGTGGCTTCATTCATTCTCTTTGTCTTTTGGGCATTATCACCCAAGACCTCCAAGAACTTGCCACCAGGTCCACCAAAACTACCTATCATCGGAAACATTCACCAACTCAAAAGCCCAACTCCTCATCGAGTTCTTAGAAACTTAGCCAAGAAATATGGCCCCATCATGCATCTACAGCTCGGACAAGTCTCTACAGTCGTCGTGTCTACACCTCGACTTGCTCGAGAGATCATGAAAACCAACGATATCAGCTTTGCTGACAGACCCACCACCACAACCTCCCAAATATTCTTTTACAAAGCTCAAGACATTGGGTGGGCTCCTTATGGCGAATACTGGAGGCAGATGAAGAAGATTTGCACCTTGGAGCTTCTTAGTGCCAAAAAAGTTCGATCTTTTAGCTCTATTCGGGAAGAGGAGCTTAGACGTATCAGTAAGGTTCTTGAATCGAAAGCTGGAACACCCGTCAACTTCACGGAGATGACTGTGGAGATGGTGAATAATGTCATCTGCAAGGCTACGTTGGGAGATTCCTGTAAAGACCAGGTTACTCTGATCGAGGTTTTGTATGATGTGTTGAAAACTTTGAGTGCTTTCAATCTAGCATCGTATTATCCTGGTCTACAGTTTCTTAATGTGATCTTGGGGAAGAAAGCCAAGTGGTTGAAGATGCAGAAACAGCTTGATGACATCTTGGAAGATGTGTTAAAGGAACACAGATCTAAAGGAAGAAACAAGAGCGATCAGGAAGATCTAGTTGATGTTCTTTTGAGAGTCAAAGACACCGGTGGACTGGATTTCACAGTCACAGATGAACACGTCAAAGCCGTTGTTCTGGTATGAATATATATACACATACACAAACTTTCAATCACCCAACATGTACATGGCTTTTAAATTCATAATCTAATTAACATGTTTTTGTTTTAATCCAGGATATGTTAACTGCTGGAACAGATACATCTTCAGCAACACTTGAATGGGCGATGACTGAGCTCATGAGGAACCCTCACATGATGAAGAGAGCACAAGAAGAAGTGAGATCGGTGGTGAAAGGAGACACAATCACCGAAACGGATTTACAGAGCTTGCATTACCTGAAACTAATAGTAAAGGAAACATTGAGGTTACATGCTCCTACACCTTTATTAGTACCCAGAGAATGCCGACAAGCTTGCAACGTCGATGGATATGATATTCCGGCGAAGACTAAGATCCTTGTAAACGCCTGGGCTTGTGGAACAGACCCTGACAGTTGGAAAGATGCCGAAAGCTTCATCCCGGAGAGATTTGAAAACTGTCCGATCAATTACATGGGTGCAGATTTCGAGTTCATTCCTTTCGGTGCTGGCCGGAGAATTTGCCCCGGACTTACATTTGGGTTGAGTATGGTTGAATACCCACTTGCTAATTTCTTGTATCATTTTGATTGGAAGCTTCCAAATGGAATGAAACCCCATGAGCTTGACATCACAGAAATCACAGGGATTTCAACATCACTCAAACATCAGTTGAAAATCGTCCCGATCCTCAAGTCCTAGGCAAAGTAAAAGAAGCTGATCAGCCTGTAAGTCTTTAACTGGACCACCCATCCATGTGTTGATGCTGCCACTGT